ACCATAATGCATTTTACAAATTCTTGATGGAGGTGGGTGGGTGGAAGTACAATGCGTCTTGGTTCATGTCCTAGAGGTCAGCGGGAAGGGTACCCCTTTTTCTGCTTGTACGTTTGTCTTTGGCAGAAACAACCCCGGGATGTGGAAACAAAAAGCCCACTGAAATTACTTGGGCTTGAGGAGGTGGGATGGTGGTGGTTGGCTTTTCTGTATAGCAAAGTAGTGGAGACTAAAATTTTAATCAAGTTGTCATCATTATTATCCACATATATCATCTTATTCAAGCCTGTAGTGTCAAAGATAGACTAAGATATCAGTTTGCCTTAAGTTTTAATTGGACATCGTGGCAAGTACTTAGCAAATGTGTAACAAGTCTATGCTTTGGGGGTGGATATAATTCTTTTTAAACTGTATTAAATGTTTCAGATAAAAAGCAGGTAAGAAGAAATTTCAAAAGATAAGAACATGGAGTTGTCCAGCATAAGATAAAGAAATATGAAGAAAGGAAATAAAGGCAGTCAGAATTGTATTCATGATAAAACTGAAAGGAAATGAGCAAAAGGCAAATTAAAAGAGAAACATGGGGAGATTTTCTTTTATTATATTTATCTATAGAAAAGAGGTGGATGAAAAGAAAGGAAACTATGGGGTTTGACAGTGATGTATAAATGCCATTAGTATTAATTATACTTCATCTCTGAGACCAAAATTATTGAGATAAATACAGCACAAGAAGGAAAATGCTCTTCCAAGTAGTAAGCTAATCTCAGAATTTCAGTGTATAAGCCATTACAATCTTTTTTAAAATGTGTATTGCATTTTAAAGCATTTAAAGTATAAAGGAGAAAAGTAAGATTCTTTAAAAATACTTTTCAATCTTTAGAAGGAAATACAAAACTACTATTTTCTGTAAAACATAATTTCTATAGAATTCCCGAAACATTCCATATAAAATGATCCCTAGTTTAAAAACACTAATAATGCAATTATTTTAAATACCGATGGAAGATTTAGTAAGATAAAATATCCTTTTGAAATGAAAATAATTATCCCTTTTGTAATTTATTTGCTTTCACAGGTCACTGTATCTCTAAGTATTAGAGAAAATGTTGAGTTAAAAGCTTGTCTAGGTAAGTGAAATACCTGTGTATGTAAAAGTTTATAGGAAGTCTAAGAAAATTAACCTACTAACAAAAATGGAATAACTTCTAATACAAATTTTTCTGTGGCTTTTAAAAGAATATTAGCTTTTGCAGTGTAGCTCATTAAAATTTAACAACCTTAATGTTTTAAAAGTTTTTTTTGTTGTTTTTATACCTTAATTCTTATTTTTGTGGTGAGTAATTTCACTATCCAAAATTAGTAAAATAGGAAAAGACAGTAGATTCTATGAAGAATTTAATATAAAATCTATATTAGAGGAGATTTGGTATTACTGCTTATTGTGTTCAGTGATTTTTTTTTTTTGGAATGTTAAGCATTCATTTCATGTCATAACCTAAAAACAGAAGATCTGATCTCATATTTTATAAAGTGCTAATGAATTTTAAAATGTGCCATTTTAAAGATTTATCATTATAAAGATACATTCTAAATCTACAGATCAATAAATACTAAAAATTGTTTTTGTTACTTTATTTCAAGCTGTCATAAAAAGGATTTATTTTCTTAAAAACATGTTATTGTAGCCAGTGCAAATATTGTGATTTTTGTATTTAGAATTAATTTTCTAATCCAAATAATTAAAAACCAAGTTATAGCTAGCATACAAAATCTGCTTCAGATTATAAATGAGTGCATCCAAAAGAAATCACTGGAGTTGCTCTCCATTCTCCATTCCCAGGCTTCTCCTCTGGGCATTTATGTTGGATTACTTAGGAATGTGCACACTTAGTATCCCCTGCTCTGTCGTTGGTAATTTAGAATTCCCTCTGATTTGAATGATCTCAGTTGTTTTTCTTCCTTCTCTATGAGTCTTGGGTACAATAAATCAAAGCAAAATTGATCCTGGTAAGTTTTAACAGAGAACAATGACGTTGGCCAGTGGATACAGAAACTTGAAAAAGCTTTTGATGAAGGGGAAAAAAAAAGTGGATTTTTTTTTTATACAAGAAGGTTTTTTTTTGTTTGTTTTTGTTTTTAAGATTTATTTATTTGTGCATACAGAACTGGGGTATAGGCCAGAGGTTCAGGAGCAGCGAGAGGCCTCACCAGAGACAGAGTGGGGAACAGAACAGGCAGATGGACGAAGCACACTGCTGAGGGGAGCAGCGGGCGGGTCAGGAGAGGTCTGCCACGCCATGTGGTCCCTTCCGGGGCAGGCGGGAATCAAACCCACGCGGAAGCAGCTCCAGATTCTCAATGCTGTGCTTTAACCCGCTGCGCCACCAGGGAGGGCCCAAAAGTGGATATTTTTATAACCTGGGTAGGAGCTGAATTCTAACATTAATGTCCAGATTGAATACCTTCGCTATCCCTCCCCCTCCAAAGATTGAGCCTTGCCTACTGTAAGACTTATCTCACATGGAAATATGGACTTTCACATCTGTACTGAAGAAAATGAACTAATTAAGGAAAGCTAGAAATGCTATTATGAAGAAGCAACCCTCTACATCTGTATCTAGTCTAGATTGGTAGTTATTGAAAACAGATATTCATAGTATGGAGAAAATACCTAATTTTGTATGTGCGTGTGCATACACAAATCACAGAGCTGTATATGCTAAATAGTATAATTGGGGAGAAAATTGTATAGGAAGATATTTTGTGTTTAGAATATGAAAAAAAGCAAGGTTTGTAATGTATATTTGTAAACCAACTTATTTCTTTGTTTCTACTACTCTTTCTGTGAAGCCTGTTACTGGATTAAAATGTCCTTATGCTTGCTTTTTCTAGCCATTCTTAGACATTAGAAAGTTATTGGCTACTTAAGCCTCATTTGAACAAAATATGAAGTGAAAATTTAATTCTAACCGGGGGGTGAAGGCTTATCTCCCTGCACAGCCCACTATAGGCATGAAGCTTGTAATTCTAGAGGAGACCCTAGGCAGTCTGCTGCCTCTCTTTCTCCATGGGGCTCTTTCATCTCCATGTTGCTCAGGCCTACTGGTCCTCCCAGGTTTTGAGTATTGGAAGTGGTTGTGGCCGGTATTTAATGGAAGCAGGAAAAAGTTCTTATTACACTGGTACTGTCTTTGTGATGTAGATTGCAGCTTTATGCACTTACATGTTTAAAATTGATTCTTCCTCATGAACAAAATTTCATGTTTCTTCCAAGACCTGCTTCACCCTCCCTATGGGTTCCTATGAGGAGAGTTAATGCATTTCTCTTCTAACTGGTCCTAACTGTGTTTATTTGCTATGTTTATTTCTACAAATGACTTTTCACCCCTCTTGACCATCCTTTAGGGTGCAATCTAAGACAACCCCATGCTGGCTCACTCACTTAAGTGAGTAGCTCACATTTGGGTTATGGGCATTGTATACCCACAGACGGTCAGAGCTTTATTTCACTCTTGAAATTCAGGAAAACCAGAAATGTTGTTATGAAATGGCCATTTAACAACATCACATTATTCCTCTTGTCTCTGCCTTATGAGCAACTATCCAGTGTTCTTTGTAGAGTTTCCAAGTGGGAAATAAACATTTCCATGTTCCCCTGTCCTTAAGTTCTCTGTGATTCCTTTAAAACTTTGTTTGCTGAATTAGGGTGAAGAAGATTTACCCTCTATCACAGTTTCCTTAAGGGAGAGGTTCTTTTATATCCTAACAGTAGTGTTTTTTGGAAATTTCCTCCCACCTTTCATTCTCAATTAAATGACACTTTCAAAGTGGATAAAATAGTTGTCAGAGCCTGCCTATCAATTTTCCACTACTTCTTGTACAAGTCCTTCAAGATAGTCATGATTCTCACTCAGGAATGTTTTATCTATTGAGAGCCTATTCAGTAGGTCCATATGTTCTAATGTACATTTAAGTGAGCTCTCTTTCCCTACACACACACACACACACACACACACACACACACACACACCACAAAACCCTGTAAAATACAAATAGTTAATTTTAAATTAAACTTTATATTTTGAGATAATTATGGATTGTCATGCAGTTGTAAGAAATCATTCAGAGAGATTCTGTGTACTCTCTTGCTCATTTCCCCTAGTGGTAATATCTTCAAAACCTATAATAATATACTGCAACCAGGATATTTGCAATAATGGAGCATTTCTATCACCACAGGATCTTTCATATACCCCTTTTACAGCCATACTCAGTATCATCCCATTTTCTATCTCCTCCCTAATCCTTTGAAATCACTGATGTGTTCTCCTTTTCTATAATTTTGTCATTTCAAGAATATTATATAAGTGAAGTAATATAGTATATAACCTTGGGGTTATCTCTTTATATATAGTCAGTGTGATT